CTTGTTTTAAAAAAGTTATAACACTTTAAAGTTTTTACTAATAAACATTGGATGCGTTTTACTGTCCGGTACTGTAGTAATAATACTTTTATTAAAATATTTTAATTAATACTTTATTCTACAAATCCTACATGAAATTTTAAAAAACTACTATTTAACTATCACTACACTTTACCAATTTGATAAAACCTAATCTAACACATATCCTCTTTAAAAATATATAAAAACTACTTTTAAATAAATAATTCAAAATCCATAACCAATCAAACTTTGTAAAAAATTAATCTACTAATAATTGTCGCAGATCATAATGAAATCAGATTAAAATGAAATGAAGGGTTTCTATTTAAGCCTCTAAAACCCACTTGTTTATTATAAAATCTGCTTCTAAACCCTAATCCTAACCCTAAAAAAATGCTAAAAAAATGCACTCCAAGAATTTGTGCTTTTCGGTGGCTTGTCTATTTTACACTATCTCCCATTTCATTTTTTCTGATTTCATTTTAATCTGCCACAATAATTTATAATCAAACAATAATACGTATCTAAGTATCAAAATAAAATTTAATAAACTATATATACTATCCCGTGCCGGAGGCATGGGTTACACGCTAGTAATATATAAGACTAATTGTGTAATCAAGACTAGGGATTGGAACCGCCTAAAAATTTTCTTAATCGTTTAATAGTTTACCGTTTAACCGTTTAATTTGGCCGGCATTAAGATAATTCCGGCCTACGACCAACATAATTCTGCCCAGAATTATGGACAATTTTTAAACGGTTAAACGGTTCCAATCCCTAATCATCCCTAATCAAGACACATGACACCGAAACGACTAAAAGACTGTTAAAAGGCGTCGTCTTCATAATAAGGCTACACAATGATGTCACAAGTTTGCTTTAAATAATAACGATAACGATAATGCAAGATGATCACTTATTTAAAAATGTCTTTTTTCCTCTTATGTTTCTGTTTACACTCGTTGCATTCCTTTTCATATTTGGCATAGTTGGCGCGACTTCTATTCTGTTTGCTGCGTATATTCTTTAATGAATGGAATGAACATGTATTTTTGTGAAAACCGTATATCTATTAATATTGAGTAATGCCCGTTAGACTTTTCATTTTATTTAAAATAATGAAGGAACAAAATCCACCCGAAACGCTTCAAAGCCTCCTCAAATATGAGTACAAGCCTGGTCAGGCACAAAGGTTTCTCGGTACAGTTCAAATTTTTCTTTATAAACCTGAAAAGCATAGTGGCAATACATGTAATAAAGTTTTGATGTTTGTTTTATTTAACCTATTGTAGCTCGCGTGGAAAATAATTTCAGGTGGCCCTCCTCCATGCCAGAATATCTCAGAAAACATACCTTCGAACTAATCGCTGATGTTGAATTCGAATTTGATGACGAAGCCGGATTTAACTTCATATTTTTCTACAACGCACTCGATAGAAGTGAGTTTACAGGACATGAAAACGAGTGGGTGACGGTACACAACCAGAAGGTAGTAGAGTATGGAAAGGAGTATAGCGATGATCAATTGAACTATGTTCTCGAAACTATGCCTGGCGCCATCCAACTCCCGGTTGATCAGGCACGTTTGCCACGTAGTAAACCGGCGAAGATGGTGATTGCTCAGCGCACTAATAGTGGGGATGATTACAAGGTTTGAATACGTACTTGATGAGAACCGTTTATCTTTTATAGAATTTAGTTTTTAGAATTTGTATGGTGCGAACGGCTTAATCACATCAAATAGCTAAGCCACCGCTGAATTCTTTGCCGATCTTCACGTGACTATCGACCAATCAATGCCGATCTCCACGTGATTTTTAGCCAATCAATTATTACACATTTTACAATAGTATTGTATGCATATACTCAACAACAAAAATTCCAAGTGCATAATTGCTCCGAAATTTTCCGAATAGAAACTTAATCAACGCAAATTACGAGCAAGGTCAAGTAAAAAACCAAAAGCCAGAGTAAGTTCCGAAATGTTCCGAACTTGTGCATTTTATGAGCACAGCACAGTAAAATGCATAATTTGTCGCATATAATTGATGGGTAATGCGGAAAAATTTATTGTTCTAAATGCGTGATTTTAGCTCTAAAAAAGTTGGTGATCATAACTCCAGACTTTTTTTTGAACTAAGTAATAGGACGTTCTCAAGCGCCCCAATAAAGTGTATCGGGAATTAAATTTTAATTAGCAGAAAGTTTTTTTAACCGATCAAACGTGCTTGTCATTAAAATGAATAAGGTACAGGACACGTGGCTTATTAAAGTCAAGAAAAATTTCAATAATGAAATATGATCAGCGAGCTTATTATTCTGTCAAAAATTTTTTGCACTGAACCACCTTTTTGCTTACACTGGTTTTATTAGACTTTATAACTTTTAAAGTAAATTGAGTTGCTGTTCAAGCATTTTATGTTTTTTATTATGATATTCATTATCAACACACTAAAGTAGTGCTGTTTTATTTTATAAACCATCAAGAATTTACTCAAGCATTGATTGAGGTCTTTATCGTAGCAATTGAGCATCACTATAATTATAAGCAAATCAAAGGAATAATAATACTTGAGCGTATTTCAACAACATCGTCATTCGCATTATTGACTTTTATCTTATATGTTGAGAATTGATAAAATTATGACATAATGCTTGTGCACTATTTCGTTCACTATGAAATCGCACCTGGGTGAATGCTTGAGAACACCCAATTTTATCGCCAATCAGATCGTTTAGTAAACACATTGAGGGAGTAGTTCGAGAACGGCCTAAATGTTGCTATGTATAACGGCTGAATACCATTAAAATCACTAGCTAATTTCATTGAGCGTGCTGCTTGAGAACATACAATAGTCAGGATATCATTATGATCAGATTTTTTAAAGATTGGTTCCATATATGAATTTACATATGAATTCGCACTGATTTAGGTACAATTTTTATCTAACAGACAAGGTTGTACCGTATTTTTTTTTTTTTTAAACTATAATTCTAAACTATCTTTACACTGTAATAGGGCTATTTTTGCAATAATTTTTGTAATTTTCCGTAAAATTAAATAATTTTTTTTAAGAGTTATTGCAAAACCGGCTCTATTACGTGTAGAGTTAGTCAAAAACTATTTTTTTTAAACAAAATATGCCTAAATCAGGCCAAATTGCATATATATCAAATCAGCCTTTAAAAATCTAATCAGTGTTGAAATGATGTGTGTTCTATCGAATAACTTTCTTCTGATGGGTCAATCACTTACTTGTATTTATACAATTTAAAGGACTTTTTAAGAATGTAACATTTCACAAGTAAAAAATAAAAATTAAACCTGTCTCTATCCTCGAAAAAGCACCAACAATTACTATGCAAAATAATCCCAAATAATCCACACCTAGAGGAACTTAAAAGGTGAAATTTCTAAGTATACTGCAATTATAGAACTAATACAGGGATTACAGGTCTTACCACAATGAGCTTTAGTATAAAAACTATAGATCCTTAAATATTATATTAGTTCGGTGTAAAAAGCGTGATAAGCATTTAAAACAAATATATGTAGGCCTTCTTTATTCTTTTGTGAATAAAAAAATTAAGGTTGGAAGAATTAATCAAATTAGGAAATGTTCGAACATTGTTACGTCAATAAATTATCGGACATTTCCTAATTTGGACAATCCCCTGAAAATCAACGATTGTCTAAATTACTAATTTTGGTATCTTCATAAGTATTTAACCACTTTCTCAATCTTTTTTTTTTTAAGTTTTAGATAACTTTTGTGTTTGAGATTTTAAACTAGCTACAAATACGATTTATTTTAACTAATATTTTTAGATATTTTTGAATTCAACAGTATTTCAATGCCAAAAAGAAGTAAATGCGCAAGACAATCACTAGAAGCTATTAGAAAATGTTGGAAGCAAGCAAAAAATTCTGATGAGGAATTAGAGTCTGGACCAATTGAAGAATTAGAATCTAGACTAGTTGAGGAATTAGAGCCTGAGCCCGTTGAGTATGAGGAAGTTATTAGTGAGGTGCAAATGGAAGACTCTGATGAGCCGTCAGATGCTGAACCCGATAAATGTGAAGAATGTTTCAGCACTTTTTGGATAGAAGGTGAGGAAAATCGTTTTGATAGTGAAGAAATCATGGATCAACTACAAAGGCTGCAACAAAATACACTGGAGCAATTAGTTGAAAACGCAAAGACAAATATATAGGCTACAAGTTCACATGGACCAATATATAGAGATGATGCAGAATTGACATTACGCAACAAGAGAGCATATTGGAAAAAGGCAGCTTCAGGTTCTAAAAAGATTACTGATATGTTTCCAGTTCAAAATGTTGAAGCTTCGGTGCCTCTGAGTCCCCCGAGTCCCCTGAGTCCCCCACGGAAAATTATGATTTTACATTCGACAATACATATAATAGTAGTGATGACGATGATAGTAAATTTACATTAGGATCTTTAGATTTATTGTTAAAAAATAAAAGCGATGATTTGTGGCTTAGAACGGTGAGTCAATATCTTCATCTGGTTTAGGATCAGGGATTTAACAAGATGGATGCAAGTATATTTCTTTCTCAGAGCTTGAGCAAAGGACCATAGCATGCATGGCTTATTCGCTTTTGGGCAAACCAGTAGCTAAATAAAGGTGAGATTGTTACATCTAAACGTGGTCGTCATGCAAAGATCAGATCTCTTCTTCTTCATGAAGATTTTAAATTATGGGTTACTGAATATTTGCGTACACACAAATTTATATTGAGGATTGCTGAATTTGTAAAATTCGTCGAGGATAAGGTTATACCTGCTCTTGGAATAGAGGAAAAGACAACCATTTCACATACAACAGCATGTGAATGGTTGCATAGGCTTGGTTGGCAATATAAAGATTATTCAAAAAATATATATTTTGATAGTCACGAACGTGAGGACGTAGTAGCATATCGGCGTGAATTTCTGCAGAAATTTGCAGAATTACGAAAAAGAATGGCTACTTATGAAGGTGAAAATTTAGATTGGATTATTTCACCTTTATTTTTACCCGAGATTGTTTTCATTACCCAGGATGAGTCGTTATTTTATGGCAAGGACGGTGCTGTTAAGGCCTGGGGTCCAGAAGATGAAAGCCAACTTTGTCAAAAGTCGCAAGGTTTTAGTATTTATATAAGCGACTTTATTTGTGAATCTATCGGGCATCTTCAACTTTTAGAGGAGGAGTGCACTATTAATGATTTATTACCTGATGATAAATGGCTTGTACATACTAAAGCCTGTGTTGTCATATATCCTGGTATGAATCGTGATGGCTGGTGGACAAGTAAAGATCTTATTATGCAGGTAAGTGAACGTGCAATTCCAATATTTGAACGAACTCACCTGAGAAAAGTTGCTTTGTTTTTGTTTGATAATAGTTGCAACCACAATGCATTTGCTGATGATGCATTAGTGATTACAAGAATGAACATGAAGGATGGTGGTAAACAACTGCTTCTCCATAATGGTAAAAAACCTGATAGCTCGACACATATCATGAAGTTCACGGATGTCGATGGTGTAGTAAAACCCAAAGGTATTTGACAAGTTCTTCGTGAATGTAGATTATGGATACTAGGCTTGATAAGAAAATGTGATGCATATAAGCAAAATAATCCAGATCCAACTAATCTGAATTGTTGCGCATCACGTATCCTTTCTGCCTAGCCTGACTTTGCATCTCAAAAATTATATTTGCAAGAGGTAAGTTACTATATA